ATGCAAGCTGTGGACTTTCCCCACATGCCATGCGCGTCTATATAAAAAAAATATGTTTTCCCTAAGTGGCAGCCCTGACCAACTTTAAAATAATTTTTCGTGAGAATTTTCAGCTGAAAATATTCAAGAACACCCGAATTGTGAGTAATATATTTATTTTTATAATATTCATTGCAAAATGATTTTTTAAATTATTTCAAAATATCATGGCGTGTGGAGATGGTTTCCGTTTTGGTCGCGTAGCAGTTAACTGGTTAAATTATGCTTCCATTTTCACTAGCGATTATGTTAACAGTTTAAACTTAGCATTGCCCAGCTGGTATGGCTCAGTGGTTGAGCATCGACCTATGAACCAGGAGATCACGGTTCGATTCCTGGTCAGGGCATATGTCCAGGTTGCGAACTCCATCCCCAGTGTGGGGCATGCAGGAGGCAGCCGAACAATGATTCTCATCATTAATGTTTCTATCTTTATGTCCCTCTCCGTTCCTCTCTGAAATCAATAAAAATATATTTAAAAAATTTAGCATTGTCTTTCAAGTGAAAGAATATACTATCTTCATTCTATTTTTAACAAGCTGGTAATGCAAACATTAAACAATACTATCATGATCTACCTATTCCTACAGAATACCAATTGTGGTAACCCCTCAGATTGCCTCACTTAACCATGTCATATTCTGTTTTGTTTCCCAAAGAGAAACTCCTATAATAACTATGGTGTTCACATGATTGCCACTCTCCAGTCTATCTCAGACTCTCTTCCTTCTCACTCACTCTGTTCAGTGACACTGACCTTCTGTCAGTTCTTGGAATGCAATACGTAGTACATTCTGCTCTTTCTTGTTTGAGAATTTTTGTACTCTTCTTCCCTCTGTCTGAAATTTGTTTCCCTGTTTGTTGAAATTTGTTTCCCTGTTTGTTTTGCTTTTTTATGTCATGGCTATATAATTGTATTTTTCAAGTTTTACTTTCTATGACCATCTCATTCAAAATAGAAACCCCTCCCACATTCTCCTTCACAATACTCTCTCTGGTCATTTCTATCTTGTCCTTCAGGATTTATCGAAGTGATAGGCATGTATCTAGTGCTCAGTAAATATTCGATGAATGAGTAAATGATTAACTAAAGAGAATTAGAAGATCATCTTATCTCTTTCCCTTAATCTGTTTTCAAACTGTCCTCTTACAGGATTCAGTTACCTAGGAAAGAAGCACTATACTCTTTATTCAGCAGCGCTTGACTTAGAGTCTTATTTCCAGAAACTCTGGGTAATATTCACTGTGTTCTTCATATTTGTGAGAAACACAGAAACCTGAGAAAAATCTTGAAGAATTATTTGGGAATCAAGGTCTCCTGAATCCTCTGTGTGGACTTATCTATCCAGCGCTGATCAATGGAACTCTCTGTGATGATATATATGGTTTACATCTACACTGTCCAATATGGAAGTCTCACTCAAAATGTGTGCAGTGAGACTAAGGAACTGAATTTTAAATTTTACTTAATTTTAATTTAAATAGCCACATGTGGCTAGCGGATGCTGTATTGGATAGCACAGTTCAATACTTTTCTCTCCCAGTGGTATAAGACGACAGTCACTACTGGTCAGAGAAAGCCTGCAAGTCTGGCTGGGACCTCCAGGTAGAGTCAGGGGCTGTGGGGAAAGTTGGAAAAGGGAAAATAATTGCTTTGTTTCCTCAACAATCAGAAGTATTATATCTTAGAAATGTAAAACAAGGAAATTAAAATTTGTTGCCTAGAGTAAAAATAAATGAGTGATCCAGTAGAGAAGGTATGAATTCTGTTTATCATTTGGCACATACTCTGTTGTACAGAGAATGAAAATACAAAAAATATTTGTATTTAGGTTTTGGAGTTGTTTTTTCCACTTTATTTAATTTAAATCCCAATTTTCAATACAGCTTTTAAAAGGCTTCATAATAAAACGTGCTTTTAAGTACCTTATTTTTATGTAGGTTCTAAAAATACAAACCTTTAATCAGTTTAGCTCAAGATAAGGTAGATTTAAAAACACACTGCAGTCTGAACTGATTTTTCAGAGTAATAAAAGCCTCATGAAACTTTTTACCTTAAGAATTGTCATTTTAAATTCTTAGCAGGTCTGTCATTTAAATCAGGCACTGTGCAATTTTTCTATCA